ACGGAAGAAACGTTTACTTTTGCGGGACTTTTTAGATGTTGAAACCATCAATGCTACACGGTACTGTGCCACCCTGTCGAAATTGAAGGGGGGCGACTCGGAAAAAGCAACCCGGGCTTCTCAAATCTGGCATTCTGTTGTTGGATGACAATGCGAGACCACACTCGGCGACGGCAGAATAAAGAATAAAACAATATTGCAGCTATTGGTTGGGAGCACCTATATCACAGTCCTAATCTCCCACCAAGTGGCTTTCATCTGCTTCAAAGAATCTCGCCTGAAGGAGCTTTGGAAGCAATGCTGAAGTCAAACAAGCCGTTAAGCACTCCTTCCGTATGCAAAGCCCTGAATTTTTCCAGGAGGGCTTCTTGAAGCGTATCAAGCAGTATGACAAATGTCTTAATGTACTTGGTTCTTATGTGAAAAAATAAATTTATGTCTTATCTTTAATGTCTCATTCTATTTTTTGACTATCATACACTACTCTGAGCACAGTCGACAGAGGAAACTTATTTTCTGACTCACCCTCGTATATGTTCTTGAGACATATTAGTGAGTTCCTTTAACAGTAAACTTTTTAACGAAAATTTCATATCTTAATTTTGTTACCTTTTAAGTACACATAATTATTGTGGTTGCGAAAGTCAAGTAATCATGGTCACAAATTAATGCCCGACGTTTCTGTCTAGTCATGGATTCCACTACTGACGCCATTAAAGAAACGCCGGGTAGAGGCATTGATGTCAAATCTATCGAGGCTCAAAGTCTTCACATTAAGTCATTGGTGTGGAAATGGGGAGAGTGGACTTTCTAGGATGAGCTGTACTTGAGCGCGAATCAAAGTTACGAGATCTCCAAGAGCCTTAGAGTTGCTTCGCAGTACGATGTTAATATAAATCGATACTGTATTACAACCTCTAATTATTCAATTTAGCTATTAAATAAAATATTTTTAAAGATTTTTCGATGTATGCATTTGTTTTGATTAATGTTTTGCTGTTACATGCAAAAAATCATATTTGTACTTGATATCCATGTTCTGTGAAATAGTCTCGGACCGAAACTAATCTTGAACTATACTCCTATTGTATCAAACTATCCATACCCGAGAATTTTAGAATATGAATAGGTAATGTATTATGATGATCTACAAATATGCAGGGAAAGAAAAAAAGTAATTAAAGAAAACAAATTTCATTTTCATTATCACACAAATGGTGAGTAGCCAAGTTTGGTATCCCAATTAGGTGTATAAACGAAAGATAATTCTTTGCACACCCGCTGCTGGAGATAACATTTATTTTCTGATACACGCTGTAAATGATAGCATGGAATAACTAAAATATTATGTGATGTTTGAGATATCTCGCTTAGCAATAGTTTGCCAAGCTTTGTTTGTAGTTGCAAGTTGTGCACGGAATTTTTTCTTTGCCTAAATCAGTACATACATATAATTTTCCGATCTAAACGGGATTATGAAATCTTTTGCCGGACAGTAACCTTGTATTCATTAATGAAGTTTCGCACACCTATATGGTAGGGTATCACCAACTCGTCTTTATTTTATATATAAATCATCAACATCCAATATTGAGAATCGACTTGATGGAAAGTTACATTTAGTGCCTCATACTGAACGAAAATGCCCGATCGCATGGTCTGCTCAAACAGAAAAACAAACTTTTTTTTTGCGAAACAAGCGAACGACATCTCTTACTGCACGTTGGACGTCATTTTAGGATCATAAGAATTAAATATTATAGTAAATCAAATCTTAAATGTTGGATTCTATCGCTGTAATTTCATTTCCCTGATAGTAAATACGTTTACACCACACTGAAAATGAATGTATTGTAAAGGGCGAATACATCAAAAACTTACTATGTGTAACGTTTGAGATCAATTAAGGTAGCATGATATTGATAAATTTAAATATTTAGTTTATTTACGTCACAGCTATTATTTAAAGATTATTCATTGAAGTTATTAAACTTATTCATTAGATTATTAGAATCCAAGCTCAGTTTGTGAAGGAGAAATTTTGGGGGTCCGTTCTCAACGAAGTTTTCAGATCATCTCCCCGTTCTCTCTCCCTACCCTCTCTAGGCTTCGGAGATCACAGAGATCGGCGCCTTTAACTTCAAGTTACATCCGGTTCGTGGGTGGTGAGGTGTTCCTCCTGGTGTCAAAGGTTTCCGGGGTGATGTCCAAGACAAGATCACGAAATATTTTTAAGGATGCGGATTTCCTTGCACACATGTGGTGACCATACCCACAAAAGCCGATTCGCAGCTGTCTGGCGGGAAATTAACAGCTGCGTCACACCATGCAATTAAATTTAAAATTCAGTAATCTCCCTCCTTTTTTTTTAACGTTTCGATTTTAATAGCACATGGACCGATTCTATATATTATACGACCAAATGAATAAACTCGTTTCATGCTATACCGTCAAGTGGCACTGAGGGTCTTAAAAACAAGATTAAAAATAATAGTTTTATATACCAAATAATGAGGGAAGTTAATTAAGAAGTGAAAGAAATTGCTCGCAATTTTATGCATCAATTATTGAAAAAACTTCCTGACTTTCGACTGTGGAATTCTTAATTGAGATAATTACTTCAGTTTTCGTAAATATTTACAATAGTCGTAATCGTACTCGATATTTAGATGTTATCATAGTAAGAAAAAATCAATATTTGACGGCACAAAAAGAAAAAAAAATCCTTATTAAAATGAAAAGTTTTTATCCAATGTATACAGTTTCTCTCATCATTTTCCCTTTTAATTATTTTACAAAGAACGACATGCACACTCAAAAGCATTTATAAATATTCTTTAAAGGATTAAACATGATTTTAAAGGAAAAATCGGAATGAAATAGTAAAATGTTTTTTTAATTGATAAAAGAGAATACAAATAATTTAAAGTTCAGGAAGTATTACAAAATAAATTTTCAAATGAGATGTTAATTAAAATTCTATGCTCTTTACCCATTATATCTACTACACGAATAAACAATAGCTTATGTACTAAACATTATAAAAATCTAATTAAACAATAAAAGGCTTGTTAACTCATTTTTTTATTTTAATGTTTTCCCCCCTTTCTAAGAAATTTCATGATAAATTTTGACTAAACTTAAGTTGTATTCACATCAACAAAATATTTTTCATATAAAAAGTATGCAATTTACTCTAGAGACTTCGCTTAAAATTGCAAATGATGAAATTAAGATAAAATTTGAAATCTGGAGCTAAAACCTATTAACTCGAAATTTGAGATCCGACATGACTAACTTGCCGTAACTATCATTTAAAAATCAGTAAAGACACACATATTTATTTATCATGTTGTGAATTATGATTGAACAATATAAAAAAAAATTTTTTTTAAGTCAATTCCTACTTAGATCAACAAAGGAAAATTTTTATTTCAGCTACTTTTTATTAAATAGTTACAATTAATATAAATATGTATATACATAGGACAGAATAACATTAAGTGGTAATTAATTGTTATTAATTATCATTAAAGTATCGTATTGTCATCCAAAACAATCGTGTTTATAAAATTTCAGCTCAACTGAATGATTTAAAACGTGAGAAAAAATCTTTTCGAGTTTTGACATAAGTCGCCAAAAATGATGCCAACGTGGCTGTAGTTCTTTAAATATTAATTTTAATCAATTTTTATTAATTATAATTGCATTATTGTATTGTCATCCAAAA